ACTACAATATAGTGTGAGGTTAGAAACCGTATGTCAGAACCATGAATGGCATGGTTTCTTTCTGGCAAAATATATCCCAAGTCAGCACTCTAAGGCAAGCGTGTCTCGTTGCCTGGAGCCCCTTGAAGAGTGCCTCGATGCGCGCGCCCCCGCTTAGAGCGGCGCCATTCTTTTATAGGGTTGACGCCGCTACAGTATACTATTACACTCTGACGCCGCTTTGCCTCGCGTGTCCGCCATGTTTTAGCCGACGCCCCGCTTTATGTAAACGTGCAGGTGGCGCCTGTCGCCTCAGGCCCGTCTGATTCGTGGCGAGTTCCGCAAGATGACTGGATGTTGTGTGCCACAGTGCACGTACCATACTAGATAGATATATGTGGGGTTTAACGTCCCAAAACCACGATATATGATTATGAGGGGCACCGTTGGTGGTTCCAGAAATTTCGACCCCTCGGGGTTCTTTAACGTGCACCCAAATCTGAGCACACGAGCCTACAGCATTTTCGCATTTTTCGAAAATGCAGCCGCCGCAGCCGAGATTCAATCCCGTGACCTGGGGGTCAGCAGCCGAGTGCCTTAGCCACTACCACGGCGGGGCGCACGAACTATTCTAGGACTATGGATGATGTTTTTCCCCCAAGGGATACTAAAAAAAGTCTCATATGGACACTGCGAATAAAGCGTGTGAGGTGACATACGCAGGTTAAAGAGCCCCATGTGGTCTAAATTTCCGGAGCCCTTCACTACAACGTCTCTCATAATAATGGTGGTTCAGGGACGCTAAAACCCCACATATCAATAAAATCGAATATGGCATATGAATGCATCTCGTGTATGCAGCGGGAGTATAGCAAGCTTGTTGTTTCCTATCACCTTTTCTTTGCCACGTTGGGTATTCTTTTGGCATGGTTTCTTAAAACGGCGTGTATATAACTAGCAATGCAGAAATGGATCAGACTATTAGAAGTTATGTGGGGGGGTTCTGATTTGATTGATATGTGGGATTTAACGCCCCAAAACCACCATGTGATTATGAGAGACGCCGTAGTGGAGGGCTCCGGAAATTTCGACCACCTGGGGTTTTTTAACGTGCACCCAAATCTGAGCACACGGGCCTGCAACATTTCCGCCTCCATCTGAAATGCAGCCGCCGCAGCCGGAATTCAATCCCGCAACCTGCGGGTCAGCAGCCGAGTACCTTAGCCACTAGACCATCGCGGCGGGGCATGTGGGTGGTTCTGACTGCGTGTTCTGCCTCTATAGCGCGCACTAGTTGAATATTAACCTGATTGCTCATTTGTAAGTCCAAATAGTTTTATCGCGTTTCAACCATTATCATAGGCTTGATTGTGGTTTAAGGGTGTGCTTGGAAATCGTACTTTCACTGTTGCAGGCATTTCTTTTTTTCTTTTGATGGATGAAGGTGTGAAGATTATTATAGTTGCGTCTGTATGAACTGCAATTATAAAGTCCGACTTGTGTTTTCTTGCGGGAAAAGAAGGACAACTAGAAACTTTTGTTATTTTTATAGAGTGAAATAATTTTTCAGAATTACTATTTTCTCGGAATTACTATTATTACTATTCTGAATTTCTCAGAATTACTTATTACGACCGAATGCTTTTTTTTTTTCGTGTGTATCATGCATGGTCATCAATTCAGTGCGGAATTCGCAACGCTGCAAAAATTGGCAGCTGATCCACAAAGTGAATGCTGATTGATAGAAGTGTGCCAGCTTGGGCTAGTTGTTATGGCATGACGATAGTGATTAGCGCGAGTACAAAACGACGACACAGAGACGAGAGTCTCCTCGTGTCCTTCTTGTCTCTGTGTCGTGGTTTTGTACTCGCGCTATAACTATCGTCATGCTGATGATAGAGCTGTATATTCCGCGCCAGTACGTACAAGAAGAAATCCAGTGAAGATAAGGCGACGATGACGCACCAAAAACGAGATGGTTTCACCTGTTCTAGTTCGCGTCTGCCAAAATGGCGTACGACAAAAATATACAGGCTTGAAGTTTCACAGCAACGACGTTTGTCTGCCTGTTTCCCATGAATTGTATAGTTGGTCAGAAACCCAGACGCGTGCCAGAAGACGTGATACCATCTCGCGCTTGCTGCGTCGTCGTCGTCGGTAGTGTCCGGATGCCGTGTGCGTTGACGCTGAAAGTCAGCTGCTCATCAACGTCCGTGAAGATATGGTTTCCGTCGACCGTTCAAATTAATCTGAAGTACTTGGGTATACCGACGCCTTCGACAACGTCTCATAATAAATTCACTTCCGACTGCCATACTCGCCGCGTGCATTTCGCGTCTCAGTAGTGTGCTTCTGGCCACATTAACACGTCACAAATTCCTCGCTCGAATGGGGGCCCTGCAGCGCGCCAGTACAAGCCAGAAGAATCCAGCGCTAAGAAGACGACGACGCACCGAGCATGCACGAAATGGTTGCGCCTGTTCTGGATTGCGGTATGTCAAATAGCTTCCGACAAATATATAACGTGGGGCATAACATCGACAACGTCTGTCTGCCTGTTCCCACAGAGCGAAACTGGGTCCTAAATGGCACCGTTGAACTCGCCGAAATGATAAGGCGGACGTACGTATAGATTCATGGACGGACACCCGATGATGGATGAAGAGATACATATGGATGGACGGACGGGAAGATGCACAGTTGAGTACAAGGGTCGACGGACAGACAGACTGATATGGTCGGACGGACAGAGTACGGCCTTGTTTTCAAAGCATATAAAGCATACGCGTGCTATGAATGCTGCAAATGCGGTATATGCCACAGATGTTTTCGGTCCGACGGTGAGCTAGCTACGACGACGGCGGCGACAGTGGACATCGTGGGAGCTTATGGAGATTCGCTTTTAAAAATTGAAGCATTACATGTGTATTAGTCGTTTCCGCTGCGGTTGCTGAACGACATTTTGATGCTTGCCGTATTTTTGACAGTACTTTCTCGAAATGTGAAATGCCGCCATAGTTTAAATAGACATTCAATAAGAGCACACGAAGATCAATATGTCAGTCACATAAAACAGGAGCCTCGGAACCTGCGTGCGAATCACAACGGTTTTGAGATTTAGCTATAAACAGCGAACCACAGAGTTCTCACGTCAGCAAACACATCACTGCTGATGGTGGGAAATTTTTGTTATGTGCTGTGTCAAAAAATAAATAAACACATAGGTATAACACTGGCTAGAAATGAAACTGAATGGTGGTGTTTTTAACACTCGGCGACTTAACATGCTGTGAACCACTCAACCGCAGCCAGCAGTCCAGCGGCTGCCCAGGCAGTGAGGGCTATTCTCTCTGTAACACCTTTAGGCGATCGAGACACATTTGGTTACTTGTGTTAATATGGGCCTACAAACCTATAACTAGCAACATCTGCGAATGATACAGCGTTTGCGAAGGCAAGTCCAGTACAAAGTGTCTTTACTCATGATTAAGAGGCTGCAAATCTGCGCGCTGGCAGTGCGCGCATTGAAGATTAGAATCAGTAAGGGCGACCGCTGTAGCAGATGATGCGCTTGTCTCCAACCTGAACGAGCAAGCACATCGAGCACTGTAGCTTGCCTTATCCCACTCTGCTACGAAGGCGCGCTCGGCATATCTCCACACTTGCGCGAACGAAGAGGACGTTTTTTTTTTTTTTCATATGCATTCGTTATTCTAAAACGAGACTCAGGCGCCCGCAGCAGGATGCCAAAGCACTTGGATGTTTATGAACCATCACGACGACGATGACGCCAACACAACATTTTCGCTGCCAGTGTTCTCGTTATTTACTGCACTTATTCAAATGTAACGCGAGTTTCTGTCGAACGTATTGGTACCTAATGTCGACCCTCACGCGCTACAATTGAATACCGAAATTCATTTTTTCCTCTCGCGCGTAATTAAAAATTCCTCGCCATGCAATAGAGTACATATTGTATATTGTCATAACAACAAATACTTGAACAAAAGCCCGAAATTTATGGCCAAATGGGAGGATTTGGCCGCAAAAGAGAAAAGGACAACGCATGGTGTAGACAGAAATCTTTTTCGAGGTGCGGCAAGCGATGCGTGGACCTGGTGCGCAACCCCGGAGTTACACCACTGGGATTGGGTACAGCTCATGCGGCCCTAGTTCCCTGCAGATAAAGTCTTACTGCCTGTAGAGTTCTAGCCAGCAGAGTAGAGTTTACGTACGCAAAATTAGCCTAGTAGCTATGATTTCTTTCGTTGGGGGGGTGGGGGGCGGGGGTACTTGTTGAAGGCTTTGAAAACACCCATTTTTAATAATTGCCCTTAAAGAAACACTCGCTCCATCCATATATGGGGGGTGGAAACATCACCGTCCTGGCTACAGGCCTCCACAGGATACTTTAATCAACTAGAGACAACCGCGAAACTATACAAAATACACTATAATTTAAAATGCAATTACAGCTTCGCGCCACAAAATATAGAAGCGGATTACTGATACTACGTAAGCTTTGTTTGTAATTCTTCATATAGTGCAGCCCGTTCGCGCTCCCTTGTCCAATTTTCTTTTCTTAAAGCTACAAAAAAACATTGAATTGCGCGCTCAGAATTAAAATTGCAAAATAAACACCTTCGCCGACTGCTTTCATTTAGGTTTACAATATGGTGATTGTTTGAAAGAGCTGCGAAAACGAAACCGCCCGTCCAATAGCGCCACTAATACTTACCAGACGTTTTCATAATGAAGTGATGACAAACTACTTTTTTTTCTTTACAACAGTCAGCAAGGACAACTAGTGAAAATCGGGAAAATTTGGCAAATAAAGTAAAAAAAACGAATATTATTTTGTTTTCGCGCCAGTTAACCAGCTCGAAGTTTGTAAGAAGTCTCCTGCAGGAAGGATAACTGAAGAGGAAGAAACACCATTCGCATCTTCCACGTTGGCGATTAGGATTCAATGCCTTCGTGCGTGTGCACCGTGTGTGTCTCAGCGAAGCGTTGAGTGAGCTGAGTGAGTTTGAGGCCTATAGAAGCTCCAGCAGCTCCAATAACAGGCAAAGCACTCTGTCCATAGATGACGATCCCTACGAAATCCGCGATGTTTGGGCCTGCGATCGAGGAAGAGTTCTGCACCATGAGTGAGTTTGAGGCCTATAGAAGCTCCAGCAGCTCCAATAACAGGCCAAGCACTCTGTCCATAGATGACGATCCCTACGAAATCCGCGATGTTTGGCCTGCAATCGAGGAAGAGTTCTGCACCATCAGGCGCCTGGTCCAAAGGTACAACTACATCGCAATGGATACTGAGTTCCCAGGCGTCATAGTGCAGCACGTACGAAAGTTCAAGAGCCTTATCGACTATCAATATCAAGCGCTGCGTTGCAACGTGGACTATCTCAAGATTATCCAGGCGGGTCTCAGTTTTTTGACAAGAACGGCAACAAGCCGGAAGGCCTTTCCACCTGGCAATTCAACTTCAAGTTCATCTTGTCGAAAGACGTTTTCGCGCAAGACTCGATCAACTTCCTGGTGAGGGCTGGTGTAATGTTTCGCAGGCATGAAGAGGAAGGCATTGAGGAGTTTGAGTTTGCCCAGCTACTTATAACTTCAGGACTTGTTCTCTCTGACGAAGTCAAGTGCCTCACTTTTCACAGTGCCCACGACTTCGGTTACATGATGAAGACACTGACCGGAGGGAGCCTGCCCATAGCTGAGGCAGATTTCTTTGAGACGCCAAAGTTGTACTTTCCATCTATTTACGATGTCAAGTACCTAATGAAGGGTTGTGGAAACCTCAGGGGAGGCTTGCGGGAAGTGGCTGTGCAGCTCCAGATACGGCAGTCAAACGTTCCAAGGTCACGCAAATTGAGGTCTTCCCGTCTCCAGGAACATCGTGAACTATCCTTTAGAGGCCTGCTGTTACTAGACTATCGCTCATGGCGCATACCCACAAACGGGACTTACCTTTGCAAACCTATTGTTCTCGTTACGAATAGATATATTTTGTTTTGCTACATGTTCCATCAGCTGATGTTTTCATATGTACTTTTGTCATCTTGTTATTAAAAATTTTCCCTGCTGTGTACTTCGTATGTCATCCCACTGTCGTTACACATGCCGTGTTTTTATTGCTCCTTAGTTTTCTATTCTGTCTATAGATAATAAGGCCAAGCTTGAACACTGCAAGCGTTTAAACATTGGCAGTGTGAATGATCTTACGTGAATGAATTTCATTTCGGCTTCAAGCAGCATTCGTCGGGCTTTATCTGCCATCATAATTTTGTTAAAAAAGTATACCTTCCTGCTTCGGCGCAGCTCTCTCTCGGACTCTCTTCGATTTTGTCATATGCAGAGAGAGGGAGACAAGCACAGAAATTTCTTGGCGGGGGCAGGAGGGGGAGGCTTTGCGAGCGCGCCGCGAGATGGCGCAGCATGTACAGCAAAATTAAAGTAACGTATCTTATTCTTAAAAATATAGTTGTTCAGCTAGTTTGTAACTCGTCATATTGTAAGTAATTTACCGAAACTTGGCATCATTAGAAATGCTTATACATTCACACATGCTACCACTCACAAATTTGTGTTGCGGCGTGCTTTTATTGAGTGGTAGCGTGCGTGCATGAGTGAGTGTTTCTATAGGCACACCAAGTTGTTTATGTATAAGCTCCCTTTAGGGAACACCCCGGGGCGGTGGTATTGTGGCTAAAGTACGCGGCTGCTGACCCGCAGGTCGTGGGGTAGAAACCCGGCTGCGGCGGCTGCATTTCCGATGGAGGTGGAAATGTTGTAGGCCTGTGTGCTCAGATTTGGGTGCACGTTAAAGAACCCCAGGTGGTTGAAATTTCCGGGGCCCTTCACTACTGCGTCTTGGTAATCATATAGTTGCTTTGGGACGGTAAACCCCACATATCAATCAAATCCCTATAGGGAACCTGAGTTGCCCAGTTTCCCCGTGCCGCTCTTTCGCGATTCTTTACAGCTGCGAAGAAGCCAACTTGTCGATCGCTCGTTTCTGGGCACCGCCGGTCCGCAGGTGCGCTCGCGTTTCCAGCTCGTTTCGATTAAAAAAGAAGCGTATTACGAATAAATATTCAGGAGCCCTTCCCTTATCGGGAGAATAGAGGTTTTTAGCAAGCTATACGGAAAAAACGTACGGAAATGCGACACGGTACCGTTGCGTATGCGCGTACGATGCTCGCGCATGCGCATTTGTCAGTTGGTTCCGTATTGCCGCCTTTCCGTAACGTGTTTCTGTACCTTGCTAAAAACCTCTATTGAGTACAAGTTCTCGACGGAATATAGACGGCTGATTGATTACGTGCGTGGTGAGAGGGCGCGCTTACGCGCTTTTGGCATCCGGCCTAACGACTCGCGGTCTGCTCCGAAACTGGAGGTCCTGCATTTATGTGTAGGCAAGAATGTGGCAATGACTTGCTGTGGTTAAACTTAGCTTGCTGCTTGGCGGCGACGTCAGCGGGTCATGCGTGGCACGGTAGACATGACTGTAAAGCTTCTCGGACATTTTAATGCCATGAGCGTATAACTTTAGTTTTTATTTATTACGCAGCTTTAGAATACCGTTTGCAAGCGCTGCGGGCGTTGCGGGGCGAGGTGGGCGTGATAAGAGTTTTAGAATAGCGTTTGCCCTGCTGCAAACCGCAACGCACGATCGCATATTGACGGCTGGTTCATGTGAGCCGTAGCGTTGAATTACTCCCGCCTAGGCGTGATCATATTTGTGCAGACATACTTCCGAATGAGATTTAGGGTCTTACGCACTGTAGTGACAACACCACTGTCACACGGGTTCTTTTTGTTTGCTATGTCGTACCCTTTTATATTGCATTTAGGTGACGGCTGCACCGTATTTTATCCAATTAGTTTGGGCAGTTAGCAGTGACTAATACTGGTGTCACTCGAATACATTTGATCGAGATCGACAGGTAAGTCGCTGCTGCACCAGATCGAGTTCGGCGCAGACGCCCTAGCTGATTGCAATCAAAAGTGCCCGTGTGACACCGGGTTGATCGCACGTGCGAATGCTCAAACCCTTTCTGTGCGCTCTTGTGGTCTCTAGCTTCTTGGCTGCTGGTTGCGTGAGTGGACGAGCATGCAAGAAAAACAGTTTACTACATATACAAAGCTACATTATCAAAATTATGCAGAAAAGGTGCATCATACTGGGTAGCTAGGTCTGTAATAATGAGACGTACGCAAATAAGCACATGTACACACAACGACTGAAAGCTGGGCCAGTTGGTTACTTGAACGTAATTTAACACAGCGCACAACTATGCGAGCACAAGAGCAATTTGTCCTTTCTCTAATGTTCGTGTGGTCCTCCTGCCCTGTGTTACAATACGTTCAAGCACATGTATGTGTTTGGTCTTGCTAAATTAAGTATCACACGGAAAATTGAAGAACTTTTCATTCTTTGCGAAGTACAATGTCATTTTGGGTCTTATTACTAGTTTTCCTGCGTGTTATTTTTTAAGCAAAAAGATGTGATGTTTACTTCATTATCAGATTAGCACATTTGTCCCCGCTTAGTAGTCAGTGCACGGTACAAGCTTTTGGTCTTCGTTGGTGCGTGTGCGCTGTAATAAATAGCATCAAGTTATATTCTCAACTGTTCTATATTATAAATAACTTCATTTCTTGAGATAGGCACAATGATAAAGTAATATGATTCTTGTATTGAACGAAATTTCTCAAAATTTTGTTGAGCCTTGTATAAGACAAGTCCACTTGTGAAAATGTCGTCTTCCGCACCCACCCCCCGTTAACAAAGTTTTCATTGCTCCTGAGTATGCAGTTTTTACTAATAAATACTAATAAAACTCTACCTAGCAAAACCATCTTGTGAATTTCTAATCTAACAAAGAATTTCCATTCACCTGCAAAGATCTGTAAATTGCAATGTTGTCTTAAAACCAATTTAAAGTTTTTTTAAAGCGACTAGATAAAAAAGCAGTGATTTTTTTTATAATTTTGTCGCAACAAATTTGAGCATGCGCTCTGACACTACCACATTGAAATATTTATGTGCCCTCGCTTTACTTCTATGGAGCTGCACGCCGTAACCCTGTGCAGAAGAACAATGGATACAGCCTTTTGTAGTGCTCTTACATTCCAGATGGTGGCAGAGGTGTTGGTGGTTGCTTTTGTTATTTAATGACTTATGCAACAAAAGACACTGATCACTCCTAGCCTTTTTCTAGCTTGGAATGATCGCACAAACACTGCATTCATTCTCCTTGTCATTGCATATCGGTCACTTGTCAAAACCTCATGTCTCCCTGGTCTGCATCACCCACACACGGTGTCCTTCTACTATGTCAAATTTGCCCCTAAGAATTTTCAAGACACAAAGGTCAGGCTAGAAGTACTTTTTGCCATTCTAATTGGTCCATGTTCTTGTAGGAGCCACAAAGATATGGCTGTTTTTAATCACAAAGAAAAGTGAGAAAAGGTGTCTAGGGGAGCTCAAAGTTTTGACAGTTGATTCACCATATCCTGCATTAAAATTATAGGCACACGAGTGGAGTAAGCTAGGGTCACATTGAGAGTATACTAACTAATCACAATCTGGTAAATTGTTCTCTACCTACCAGAAAGACAAAGTATCACTGATACCTAATGAACCTCGTGATTTTATACAGAATGCATCCATGCATTCTCGAGTAGTAGTGTCCCTGGTTCTGCCAACAGTCCGAACCATATCCAGGTATGGCTCACACTTATGAGAATCGCAATGAGTCAGCAAATGTGCCCCATCTTTATCTTTTAACGAAAGCTCATGTTTGTGTGCATGCTCATTCACGCATATTCTTGCCCGGCCAACATTCATCTTTTGCCGTAGGGTAGTCGCAATTCATAAACGACCAGGTTGACACATTTTGTGCATGACTTGGCGTGCCTCTTGCCGTATCAACCTTTGTTGCTTCCATTAGGTAGTATACTAGTATACATGAGAAAGCTGAGATGATTTTTGTGGCACAGAAAAAAGAATCGCATGCCATCTCTGTTTGCAACTATTTTTAGGTCGTGTGCAGCTCGGTGCATACACAGTACAACCTCAGGTCTCACTGTTCTGCTCTCTTGGTCTACCCCAGTACCGTAGTGTTCTCTCATGATAGTCTGGTGGAGCAACTCAGCTACAGCGTTAAGGAACATGCAAAGAAACCAACCACAGACGACCAATTCAATTGGTTTTGAAAAGTTTTCTGCATAACATGTGAGCACGACACTGCACATGCATAGCCTGGGCATTGTAGAGCTGTGGCCCTTTTCACAGTTTTGGAATGCATCAACTTGTATGGAAGCGATTCTTTTGCACACCTAAAAAAACCAACAGCCGTGACGGCTCTGCAAGGTAATGCGCTAAGCCGAAAACTGCAAAGAGCCACAAGCCTTCAACTCATGTGTAAACACCAATCCTTTTTCAGTCTGCGAAAGCCTGCTAGAACATTGTTAACAATGGGCTAATGTGTGACGGTTGATAGTTGTTTCGAAATAATAAAAAATTTATCATCACACGCAAGAACTTTCAAAACCTCCCACTAAACAAATGTTTGTGTAATGTAACAAAACAAGTTACGGTCAAACATAAAAATTTGCACAACACAAGAGCAACATATGAGCCTACGAAAATGCCTCGTCTTTGAATATAAAATCGCTAATAAGTTGACTTTAACACAAAACTTGAGAAGGGCCATAAAAGCTTATAATGCTATGCCCGCAGCATTCCTGATGGAAACCGCACCACTCTCGTCTATGCAACTTCCGATGTAGAAAAACAATTCACTGTGCAGGACAGAGTAAAATAGGTCCTCAACTTCAACCAAGAACAAGTACTCATCGATGGATTCTTTGAAGAAAGTGAATGATGCA